TCAATATTTTCGAAGTGCAGATATACATAAAGTTTATTTTATTTTCTATGAAGAAACCGAAAAAGCGATAAAAAATATAGGTTGCCATTTAAAAAGACACAGTTGGGATCCGCCCAGAAAAAATCGAACACCCTGTGTGACCGCCAATATTTTTATTTTGTCGAGCTCGAGCAATAAGGTAATATTATAGAAAATTAGATTCCTATCTGCTTCCTATATAGAGATATGGAACACCGCGCCACTGTTGCAGGACCCTGTATACACAATTTAACAAGTGTTGTCAACTCAACATTCATTCTCAAACAAATATTGAATACCTACACGCTGAAACTGGAAGTGATTCGAAAGTAATGCGAAAACTCTATTGACATATCTTTCACCTTTACAATATCTCAAAAAATATTTTAGAAGTTATGACTTATCTAAAAGATTCTTTGGCACTTGGTATGTTTGTAATCATGACCCAGTCTCTACTCCATTGGCAAGAGTAAGTTCATGAATGTAATCTTGGCAGTTTTTTTGTGAAAGACTTTCAACAATGACCTAATTTTGAAATAATTAGAATAAACATATTTCTCCAGCGCTGTACAATAATTCTACTCCTAATAGTAATGACTAATATCTGAACAATTCGAACATTTGAAACTGTTGTTTAAATCCCAGGGAATAGGGATTCTTTCACTGAAAATCTCAAAATGAGAAAAAATAATAATCTGTATGAGACAACATGAAAATACAAACCTCAGTCTCTCCCTCTTCAGAAGAAATGACAACCATCCCTTTTCCATCCAATACTGCATCAGGTGCTACCATATTCAAATGTTTCTTCAGAACTTCTGTTTCAAATTCCTTAACAGTCATGACTTCCACATTAACAAAAACATTCACAAATGGTTTAGGACTACATACATAACAAGTGGGGTTAGCCTTAGAAATTTGTTTGTCTGATGCCAGCACAAACTTGGAATGAATCGATTTTTTTCTGAGGTAAATGGATGGACATTTCTCGAACTCCTGAATGATCACTCTGAAGGCATGCAGAACTACCAAGCCCGCAATCATGGCATTGGCAGTGGCTATGGCTGGTATGATATTTCCTGCAATAGCTGAAAAAAAAATTTTATTATTCTTTAAGGTACTATAGTTCGTTCAATATTGTCTGAGAGTAAAAGAATTTCAAGAATGCAAACATGTCGCTACATCAAAGAAAGCAACATAGTCGTCTCAAGCAAATAGCACTGCAATTCACCCACAAAATCATTAAGATATGTCTACCCTCTATATTCCTTGAGGACGCCGCTAACGAGTCATTAAAATAGGGATATGCGACAAAGAACGCGAAAACACCGACAAAGAATGCGAAAATACCGCCAAAAGAAGCGCTCGATAACTATTTGTGATTAAAAGGTTTACTAAGTATGCTGGTTGCAATTCATTTATTATTTTAAATATAAATATCATAGTTTGATAATACAATCGTTGAGAGACATTAAGCCACCTTAAACTACAGAGATATTATATACAGGTGTCATTCTATTGCAGAGTAATATTATTCGCATTCCACGATTTTGTAATTTTTGTAATTGATTTAATTTGTTCTGATTCAAGAGATATAAGAGAGTCCCGCAAAAATCGTAATGAGGTTTTATTATGCAATTATAGCACGTTATTTTGGCATACACTGATAATACAGATGTCACTCTAGAAAAAAAATACAGTTTCTTTGATATTTTGCTTATTATATAGTCATTATATATATTATCATTCAATGGAATTGTATTACCTACAATGATCCCTAGATACTTAATTTTACTCACTATTTCTACATCAGTTTCGTTAATTTTAATTTTGACTGTGTTTCTCCCAATTTTATTTTGTTTATACTTTGTTTTAATGATCATCGCCTTAGTTTTAGTGATATTAAGTTTCAGTTTATTTATTCGAAGGTACAACTCAATATTTTTCAATGAATTATTCATCTTTTCAATAGCGACTTGCAAGGTTTTATCGTAGGTATATATTAATGTATTATCTGCAAATAAGTTAATCACATGATCACCATCTACGTAATTGATATCGTTTATATAAATCAGAAATAGTAAAGGTCCTAATACACTACCTTGTGGAACTCCAAAATCATTCACTAACTCTTGTGAGTAGCGCCTTTTAATTTTTGTTATTTGACTCCGCGAACTGAGGTAACTTTTCATCCACTTCAAAGCTACATCACCAATACCATAATATTTGAGCTTTTGGATTAATATATATCTGTCTACTGTTTCGAATGCCCTCTTTAAATCCGAGAATGTACAAACAACGTAATTATCTTTATCAATTTTTTTCTTTCCGATTTGTTATTGAGAACTGTAAGGCAGCCTCACACGAATGTTTTTTTCTGAAGCCTGACTGACAACCTAAAAGTAACCTGTTTTCATCAAAGTATTTGTTGAGTTCCTCATATACTGCTAATTCCAATACTTTTTCAAGGGTTGGAAGAGTATTGATAGGATGCTTCATAAATATTATTTATTTTTGGTATTGGTATTACTGTGCTTATTTTGAAGTGTTGGGAAAATTGACCTGTTCGACACGTATTAATAAAGTTCAGTATAACATGCCCCAAGGTGTTGAATGTCTCTTTTAGAAATAGACTGTTCATTATCTCAGATCTATTAATTTTATTTATTGAAAATATTATATTTTTCAACTGCGGCAAGTCTATCTGTTTAAAAGAATTTAATTTACAAAACGAAACTGTTTGAACTCCAGTTTGACTCAGAATTTATATTGTTTACAAGTTCACCTATAGGTACTATTGACAAAATACTCATTGAATGCATTTGCAATATCAATTTCTGTGCTACAAACTTTTATTTGATCACCGACATTGAATACTATCTTTTCAAAATTATAACTTTCAATTGGATTTATGAATGATTTTAAATATTTCCACATTTCTTTCGCATTATGTTTATTTTCATCAATTTTCTGTTCATAATAACGCACTTTCTTTACTTTTAACATATTCACATAGTCATTTCTCACTCTCTTATAATTCCCCCAATGTATATGTTTACTTAAGTTTGTAGTTTGTTTGAATTTCTTATAAGCTAAATCTCTTTGTTTTGCTTTGATTTTCAATTCACTATCATAGTATAGGACTTGATTTGATTTTATTTTCACAGTATGTTCTGGTGCTACCTGATCAACAATATCTAGAAAGTTTTTTGTTATATTCTCCAATATCACATCAACGTTAACTGAATTCATATTCCAGTTGCTGGACAATAGCTCAATGTTTATGTTATGATAGGTATCTACGTTCATTTTTCTAATTTGCTTGAATGTTTCCCCTAACGTGATATTTACATTAGAGAGATATGATAGAGTGGTCAGTTAGTTTTGGATTGTCATGAACAACTGCTCGATTAGAATCAATATTTGTTACAACATAATCTATAAGAGTAGAGCTATGCTGCGTACACCGTGTTTTTGTATTTACAATTTGATCTACTTCATACATATCAAATAAATGTTTGACCTTTTTGGTATAGAAGAAATCATCATCCTCATAGTCCATATTGAAGTCGCCAATCATCAGACATTTTTTTCCTATAAAGTATATCTCCAGAATGTCCTCTAATGTATCTGAAAATGTTCCATGATTTGAGCTTGTTGAATGGTAGATACCACCGATGTGCCACTTTTATGACTTTATCCTTACACTTATAAACTGTATCCAAAAGTTCCCATCCAAAATTTTAGATTTGATAACTCTATAATCTATTCCTACTCGAACATATATTAATACTCCACCAGTTCGTCGACTTTTGTTATCGCACCGAACTACGTTATAGTTATTTATGCTGATTTCAAAATTTTGTATGTCTGATGTTGTTCTTGATTCACTCAAGATGATGAATGATGGATTCAATACTGCAATGCTAGTTATAATATCTGTTTTGTGTGCGATAAAACTCTGAATATTTAAATAAATTATATCCTCATTATACTGTAGTGGTTGACTATTAGGCTTCACTAATTGTTTTTTGGAATATTTTTATTATTTGAATTCGCCTTGTATATACTGCTGCTGGAACAGACTGTAAGTACCTGATTGTTTTCGAATTATCTCCATTTGCAATAAATTTATTCAACTTCTCTTTTACTTGCTTGTAATATGCTCTTTGCTTTCTTGTTTGATCGCCAAATTTCATCACTGGCTTCAATTTATCTTTTGATCTCCAAAACTTCCTTAACATCTTCAAGATTAGCAAAAGTTACTTTCAGTAATCTGTTGAGTCCATTTCCAAATTTACCTATTCTTTGCACTTTGATACGAGTGTCGGTTATGTTGACATTATTAATTAGACCAAGGATTGTTTGTATTTCTTCTGCATTCCTTTCGGCTCTGTTAGGATCAGACGATTCACAAATATTCTTAAATATAACATTTTTCGCACAATATTTTCTTTCTTCTATTTCTGCTATAACTTGTTCAAACTGAACACTAGAGTTTATTTGTTCACTATTAGTTTGAGTTTCAATTTGGCTTTCTTTCATTTCTTTCAGCTCACCAATTCTTGATTCCAAGTTATCAATCTTATTTAAGAGCACCGGCAGGATTCTAAAACCCTGCTCACATTCATCGCATAAAAATATCAATTTTTTTTTCTTCAAAGTCATGCACCTCAACTCCGTACTAGACAGCTTCGAACAATCACAACATATATTTCTCTTACAGCCATCACAAATAATAACAAGATCTTCTCCATGACTCCTTTTACATGTTGAACACACTGGCATTTTGTTGATGTCTGCAGAAATGTTCTGGATGTGGCAACACTGGTAAATCGGTCAACTCTCGTGATATTCTTTCGGAAAGCACTAGCACACACCTGGTTCGTTTTTTTGTGGGTAAAAACACTAACCACCCAAAAAAGTTTTGGTGCAATGGATTGAATAGCACAATATCAAATTTATTTAGCAGTTTTTCTGCTATATA